AATCCTGTACCATTCGATGGTTCAGTAAAAACCTTTATCTATTTCGTCAAAGTGTCAATAGTTGTGCGTGAAGTTCACTAATCCATTACAAATTCCATGAAACCATTAACAGTTTAGTATAAGGTATACTGAACCAACGTAGATTATACGATGCTGCACATCGTTTCGTACAAAATTTACTGAACCTTCATTTATACTACGAAACTATACACAGTTCTATATAAATTTTACCAAACGAATTACTAACAACAGGGAACTACACTCTAAGAAAAATCCGTCGTGTAGGAAACCCTTAATGGGTTTCCGAACTTGTTACTATCGGAAACCTTTTAAGAGTTTCCGAGAAAAGGTTTCCGAGCACTCGGAAACCCTACATTAGCATATTTTACTACCACAACACACCAACCATCGGAAACGCATTAACTGTTCCCGAGCAGGTTCCAGAACAAGTAGATACCTTACTTCGGTCAATTAAAATAACCCTTATATGAGCCACAAAAGCCCTCACACTCTCAGCCCACGCATGAATATTAATGCAATTTCATTACAGACCTAAATAAAGAAAAAAGGATCAGATTGAATTTTATTGAAATCAATTGTCTTACCAGAAATTGTAATCGATATTCATATAGACCTAAATAAACAAAAACAAATTAGATTTGAGTTTATATAAATCAATTGACTTACCAGAAATTGTAATCGATATTCATATACACCTAAATAAACAAAAAGAAATTAACTTTAGGTTTATATAGATCAGTTGACTTACCAGAATTATTGATGGACACTCATATAGACCTAAATGAAGAAAAAACAATAAGATTTACTTTTATTGAAATCAGTTGACTTACCAAAATTATCAATGGACATTCATATGCACCTAAATAAACATAAAAAACTAGATTTATAAAGTTGATATAAATCAGTTGACTTACTCGACATCTTAATGGATACTCATATACACCTAAATAAAGAAAAAAGAATTAGCTTTAAGTTTATATAAATCAATTGACTTACCAGAATTAGTAATGGATATTCATATAGATCTGAATAGA